CACTTAGTGGCTCCTTCCTGTGTACTTCCTTAGCACATTGTAACACAACTCTTAATCAAGTCTTACTATATTCTGCTTATTTACTAACAGGTCTGTCTGTCTAGCTAGACAGAATTCCTTTAGGGATGAGATGGTATCATACTGTATGTATCTCTAGTATGCATTTCAGCCCCTATTATGTCTACCAGATACAATACTTCTGTTAATTAAGCCTTTTTTATAGTAAAGAAATTTAGGAGTGAAATCATACTCAAGAGGCTAGGAGAGATGACTCAACAGTTAGGAGCATGTAGTGTTCTCAAAGAGAACCTGTTTTTGGTTCCTAGCACCCACTTCAAGCGACACACTACAACCTGTAAGTAGTTCCAAGAGATCTGATGCCCCCTTTAGCTTCTGCGGACTCTTTGTATGTATGTGGTGCACAAAAACTCGTGCAGACCTACACACAACACATTAATTTAAAAAAAAAGCTTGAAAAGCATTTTGATGTCGAATCATTAAAATTGGTCATAAATTTATGGACAGCCATTTGTACACATTATTAGTATGGATAATTAAATCATTGGAATTAAAGTACAAGATACAAATTTATTAAGAACTATTGAAAAGGGGGGTTGGTGAAATAAATGGTTCAGCAGGTAAAGGCTCTTCCTTCATAAGTGTGATGCTTACAGTTCTATCTGCAGAGTCCACAGTGGAAGGATAAAACTGATTCTCACAGATTGTCTTCTGACCTCCACATGTGTACTGTGGCACACTTGCACTCACACACGCACACACACACACACACACACACACACACACACACACATACCATAATAATAAATAAATTGTTTAAAAATGTTGAAACATGAAGAGGCATGGTGGACAACCGTAGAAGTATATACTTATGCATTAATTATCCAATTTGAAAAATAAGATGGTATCAGCCCAGCCAAAGCTTTCTCTGTACCTCTCCCCAGCTTTATCTGCTCCCATCCTTTCTCTGCCAGAGAGAGCAGTGAGGACCGTTCTAGTCCGTTTCCTCACATGTTCATTCCCTGTGTTTGCGGCCCTCGGCATGATGTGGCATTGTATGAAATTATTCTTTCAAATGATTCCATGAACATTGCCGTACTGTGTCCTTTCATATTTATCTTCTCATCAGGATTATGTTTGTTACATATTTTCACGTTAGAAGGTGTAATTCTACTTTAAATTCATGATTCTATTCCTCACTTAGTCATCCTACAGTTGGGATGATGATTAAAACATTTTTCTTTTTCCAGTGACATTAATATACAAAAATACCTAGACAGATGCTTTAAAAATATCTCACTAAACCAACAGATGTTGTCAATTTCAGTATTTGGGCTATTTAGAAAGGCAAGTCTAATATTTGTTAGACTTTAAATTTTGTAGTAATATTTGAGTCCTAACAATAAATATGCTTATTGTATTACTGTTCATTGCATTATATTGGTAATATTTTCATGACTGACCTTGTTACTAAAGGAAATTTGAAGTAATTTACAATGAGGAAATATTTAATTCAAATAACAACACATGCTATCTAAGAAAACTAAGATCTATTGATAGGATTACTACACATACATGAAAATATTTGAAATACAATCTTTGAAAATACTACCTTTAAAATGTATAAAGTTAATTTTTTGTTTAATTTTGACCTCAGTTAAAGAAGATGATTTGTTAGGTAAGATGACATACTTGGTTGGAAACTGAAGTCTTGAAAGTAGCCTTTTATATAATAATTTGACATGAAATCAAATAATTGAGTTTTTAAAACAAGATGCGTACATGGTCTGTGAATGACAGATTAACAAGATATTTTATAGGCCACTGAAAACAAAATCCAGGGAAAGGATGTGCAGCTGCTTTGGTTCCTAGTCCTGAGGGAGGTCTCTGCAATGCAATTGCTTAATCCCTTTATCAGTGTTTGGACAAATTAGTGAAGTATCCAACACTCTGGAGGCTTCCCACTCTTAGAAGCACAGTTCCTGACCTCTGCTGAGATTCAGATGTTGGAGATGAGCTGAGAGGGCTAGTGCTGACTGAAACTGAGAGCGGTTGCCGAAGCCTTCCCGGTCACATGACTCGCTCTATTAGGTTTCACTGAACGAAGCATGTGAGGATGTGGTGGAATTGTGTTCCCCAAAATATTGTGCACCCTAATAAACTTATACAGAGGCTAGATACAGAGGCTAGAAAATAGTGGCACACACACCTTCAATCCTAGCCTTCTGGAGGCATAGATCTCTGTGAGTTCAAAGCCACACTGGAAACAGCCAAGCATGGTGACTCATGCCTTTAATCCCAGGAAGTGATGGCAGGAGGCAGAAAGGTATATATGGTGTGAGGACCAGAAACTAGAAGCTTTTAGCCTTGGTTAAGCTTTTAGGCTTTGAGCAGCACAGTTCAGCTGAGATTCATTCTGGATGAGGACTGAGAGGCTTCCAGTCTGAGCAAACAGGATCAGCTGAGGAATTTACGAGGCGAGGTGGCTGTGGCTTGTTCTGCTTCTCTGATCTTCCAGCATTTACCCCAATACCAGGCCCTGGGTTTGTTTTTATTAATAAGACCATTTAAGATTCATGCTACGTGAGGATGCTATAATACAAACTTTTGATAAAGGGTATCTAGAGTTGAGATGTATGCCTAGGGCATCGTGTTTCTCAGTCCATAGAAAAGCTTATATAAGTAAGAAAATGCATGTCAGTCTCTTGTCTGACCCAGAACTGGCATTTCTGAGTAAGATCATCCCATCAGGAAAGTCAACAGCTGTGGCCAGAAGAGGTATTGTTAAAAGTTCTTTGTTTTCCAAAGATGACTAGACTGCTACTCACAACTCCAGGGAGGCGACCTAGAAAACAGGACCCCAAGAAAGACACAGGGATCGCCCAATGACAGAGAAATGGATCAGATCTACATGAACAACCTGGACCTGAGTGGGGGTAATGAAGGGCAAGGGTCGAGGGAAAGAGAACTTGGGGGAGCGGGAGATCCCAGCTGGATCAAGAACAGAGAGGGAGAACAAGAAATAAGAGACCATGGTAAATGAAGACCACATGAGAATGGGAAGGAGCAAAGTGCTAGAGAGGTCCACAGAAATCCACAAAGATACCCCCACAACAGACTGCTGTCTATGGTCGAGAGACAGCCCGAACTGACCTACTCTGGTGATGGGATGGCCAAACACCCTAACTGTCATGCTAGAAATCTCATCTAATGACTGAGGGAACTGGATGCAGAGATACAGGACCAGGCCCCAGGTGGAGCTCTAGAAGTCCAGTTGGCAAGAAAGAGGAGGGTTTGTATGAGCGAGATTTGTTGAGACCAAGATTGGAAAAAGCACAGGGACAAATAGCCAAACGAATGGAAACACATGAACTATGAACCAATAACTGAGGGGTCCCCAACTGGATCAGGCCCTCTGGATAAGTGAGACAATTGATTAGCTTGAACTGTTTGGGAGGCATCCAGGCAGTGGGACCGGGACCTGTCCTCAGTGCATTAGCTGGCTGTTTGGAACCTGGGGCTTATGCAGGGACACTTTGCTCAGCCTGGGAGGAGGGGACTGGACCTTCCTGGACTAAATCTACCAGGATGAGCTGAATCCCCAGGGGAGTCTTTGCCCTGGAGGAGATGGGAATGGGGGGTGGACTGGGGGGAAGGGGAGCCCAGAGGAGGGAGGACAAGGGAACCCGTGGCTGATATGTAAAATTAAATTATAAAATTAAAAAAAAAGAATAGAAAAAAAAAGTTCTTTGTTTTCATGAAAAGGCTCTTTGATTTCCAGAATTTTTTTTTTCAAGGTAACATCATTTAAATTCACTCATGTTCAGAAGTCTCCTGGAAGGCTTCACTCTGGCAACCTACACCTAATAAATTTCAGGAATGTGAACATCAGTTTTAATAAACAGAACTTGGCCTCTAAACTCCATATGGTCCTATCCCGTGAAATCTGTAATTAATAGCAATTAATTATTACTTTCTAATTATTATTTGATTATTATTTAATTATTATCACTTTCAAAGCAGTAACTTTATCTTTTAGTAACAAATCTTCCATGATAGTGTTAAAATTACATAACTGTCAGATTTGGGTAAATTCTATGTCAAAGTTATCTGTTTCTATAAACATTCTTGTTCTTGTACTTTAGACATGCCATGGTCTTTTGGGTCACCAGTTTGCCCCATAGAAGATTTATAAGCATAGATACAAAAAATTATATATAGATATTAATATAGCATTACATTTATGAATACAAATTTTAAAACAGATACATATCATAAACTTAATTGTATATTTTTAAAACTTTTTTGTAAATTGGGCTCATCTTTGGCTGTATAAACATTTAGAAATAGAGAAAAAGTAAAATTTAAACTTCATCCAATCATCACACATATATCATTACTATTAACATTTGTTTTCTTTTCGTCCAGTCTTTTTATGTACAGTTTTTATGTATTTTTGTTTTGGAATAAACTGGACATCAACAGAAGTGTTTAGCTGTACTAATATTCTGTATGTGGTGTTACAAATTCCAAGCTTTCTGTAATTGCTTCTTGACTTTTTACTCTTCCATTGATTGAAGTCTTCCACATACCATCATTTATGCCTTTTGGCATATAATGTATGGTTCTGATTTTCACAGCCATCAGGTGTGTTCTCTGCTTCTATCTGCTAATCAACAGTGCCATTAAAGCATTACATCTGTGCCTCATGTATATTTTAATGCAAGGGAACTTCTGTTTCCTCTCCAAGGAGTTGGATATTTCATATTTCTCCAATTACAGTATTTCTATAAAAATTTGAACTCTGTTTCCAGCTATGAATGAAAATGAATAACCCATTTCTTGCTATTTTAATATCATGTGGATATTCTATAAAGTATAGATTATATACAGTCACATAACATGTAAACATTTAAGAACTGATAATATTGTGAGATGGTATTGCCTGTATCCTGCCAAATAATTATTTTTCTTCTTTGTAGCATAGAGCATTGCATTGAAGAAATACAGTCTGAAGTAAACAAACTCTGTCCAGATGTGCAGCTGCAAACAACAGCGGACTGCTTCACATGGCTAACTAACTATAATTATAATTCATCTAAGTCACCATCCATTTCCCATGGAGATTTGATAAAATTCCTCAAAATAATGGTAAAAATCGCTTGTTTTATGGTAGGGTGGGGAGCAGGGAATACAGCTGGTTGAATTACAGTATGTTAATATTAATTGTATTGGTAATATTGGTAATGTCTTATGTGGGAGTTTTGTTTTGGAGTATGTTTTTGTCTTCTTGTTATTGTTGTTGATTCTATTTCTTCCCCCATCAATTGCTATGACATATTTTTAAAATTACTTGTAGCACCAAAGTAAATTGTATAGAAATGGAAGTTAAATGTCCTCCTTCCTGGGTGACTTGTCGTATGCCCTGCAGCATGTTAATGCAGAGCACACTGATACAATCCGCAGTTGTCTCCAAAGAAGTTCATATCATTAGATTTTCTGTTCTTTCCCAACGCTAGTTTTCTCTGTGCTCAAAACCAAAGACAGTACTAGTCCCTTGTTGTATCTATTAAGTGGCCTTATTTCTCATTCCCTGCATTTGGAACTTACAATAATACCCACTTTTGTTTTGTTTTGTTTTCTTTCAGTGGAAGCAGAAATGTGCACATGACTGCTGTTAATTGGTGGTCCTTTATTGCTGGCCATCTACTTGAGAGGAATTTTTTGTTAATCTTCAACAAGAATAGTTATTATTATACCCACATCTACAGGGGTGGCTAGGTTACAAAAACAGATTCTCAAAGAAACAGCACAATTTTTAGGAAGCAGAATTTCTTTAGCTATGGTTTTAATTTAATTTAGTAGAGAGAAAAGGACTGTTTTTGTCCAAACATCAAAAACATTGACCAAAGCAGATGTGGAAAATATCTTGAGGTTTAGGTGGTTTAGGATGACAGAATCAGATGGAATAGTTTTTGTCTGTTGCTATTATTACAGTTGTCTCTTTCATGCTCATGAAGTAATACAAGGAAGATAAAGGAAGACTATATGCCCTGAAGCCTTAACCTTTTAAGAAATTCCTCTCACCCATTATCTCTTGAAGGTAGAGCCTTGAAGAATAAATATGGATGCAGTTATTCCTTTAATTTCTTCTGTTAGGAGCCATATGTATTGTATTTCACCAATGTTGATGTAATAATGCTTTCTCATTTAATTAAAAGCAAAGGATTTCAATTATCTTTTAATCTGTCAGAAACAACTCATTGTCTATTCACTGCAAAGCAAAGGCCACCTTAGTTCTCCTCAAACACATGTTTTGTTTTGTTTTTTACATAATTGATCATATTATTTTTGAGGAAATAATCTTGTTATCAAAACAGATTCAAATTAAAATAAGTCAGTTTTTACATGCTAATTGTGTCAATCTCGATGGCATTTTTATATATCTATTTTTTACAAAAGGTTATTAGTTAGCTATGAAACTGGTTCTTAGTATGATAGTTATACTGATGCTATTTTCAAATTTTAAATAATCATACAAAACACATGGTTTGAACCTCTGTAGTCTATTGGTTTTTGTTTGATCAAATATTTACAACTATTAGCTGGCTTATATAACACATCTGATTCATTGAATTGCCTTAGTGCTGCTGGGTCCAAGACTCGGTGAGAACATTTCCTTTCTAGAAATATGCAAAGAACTAAACTGTACGAGACGTGAGAGATGTGCAGGATGCTCATGTGGAGAGGATGAAGCCATGTTTGTGCATAGTGGTGTCCCTCACTCCAGAACTCACATATGATGTTTGAGAAGTCATTTTAGCATGTATCACATCAGATATCCTTATCCAGACATTAGGCTTTTAGGGTTTTCAAATATCAGCATCACAGAGATTTCCTTGTGAATAAACTGGAGAATATATGGAAAATGCTTTTTCTGTAATAAAATATAGGTATTTGCTATAATTATTAAAATTTCCCATTAAATGTGCATTGCAGTACTTAGAGTGACTGAGGGCCAATTCCAGGAATCTGTCTAGTTGTTTAACTCTGAATTATACATAATACCTGTGGTATCTTTATCAATAAGAAATCTCAAAGCCAGACTAATTTTTATGCCACTGGAGCCTTGCTTCCATTTCTTTTCTAATCAGCTTGTTTCTACTTACAGAATATGAACTAATTTCAGTATTGACTGAAAGGGATATAATTAGGCAAGTCATCATGTTTGGAGAATGTGTGTGCTATTCAGAGTCCAAGAAGAAAGTAATTTTTTTGTTCTTTTATTATTCCCAATTACTCCCACCATTGTTTTCTACCAACTCAGGAAGATTAAAGGAATAATTCCCTAACATCTTTTGGGGAGCCTTTCTGAAGATTTCTTTATCCCATTTTGAGTTAGTTATTTCTTTGGAGAGAACAGAAATATTCTCAGATTAATTTTTAAAGTAAAAATCTTTCTTAACATGGTTCTCAGCAATGAATTTAAATGAAAGTTGAAATCTTCCAATGTATTACATTTTATTTCTCAGGATGGCAGCTATTAGTAACCCCTAGGTACCGACTATATTTAATTATTTCTTTTCTAGAATTATCTTAAGGATTGTATTTTGTTTGAAGTTTTATAGTAAGTATATTCACTCAGGCATACAAATTCCCTTCCAGAGATTAATTAGGGCATGGTCTTGATTTTATTTTGTCTTAGGAACTCATTGTTTTCTCTAACAGCTCTGTATCTAGAAATAAGTTTCAGCTTTGCTACAGCTCAGATCGCAGAGACTAGTGAGGGCTGAAAGGTCCATGTACAGAAGCATAACTAAACAGACAGCCAATCAGCTGGACTTGGCGAAATTCAGTCTATAGAAGTTAACACATTCTGTGCTGCCAGCATTGATTAAATCCCCAGTGCAATACAAAAATATGTTGAGGAGTATAGGACAGTCATTCTAAATTTTAGTCATTTTATGAAATTTTATGAAATTGTGTGTTTAGAAATAATTTTTGTTTTTCTTAGGTTTAATTACATGTCTAATGTTGTGATTTACTTTTATCAGCAAGATTTATTGAATAATGAAGAAAATCAAGAAGAAATGATCCTGGATTTACTCTGGGACCTCTCCTGTCAGAGAAGCATCTCATTCCTGTCGCCCCTAGGAGGGACCTCGTTCTGTTTCCTCTCCAGGACATGTCTGCATTCTGTTGAAGATTATTCCTCTGTGGATGTAAAGTTTATTTGGGATGATGTAAGATTACATCTTCGACGCTTCCTAGTGAACAAGTTAGAAGGCCATAATGAGATAAACAACTCACAGCCAAGAATTAAACTGAAAAGTCAATGTATGCAGCAACTCCTCCTGCTCTACCCAGAATCAGAAGTGCTTGTCAAGTACCAAAGCATACAGAAGAGACTGCTGACTAAATTTCTGCAAACCTCCTTCCCTTCCTGCAACAGAGATTCAGATTTAGAAGTAATTGCTCATGGATACCAAAGTACAATGCTCACGTTATATTCAATGATAAAAGAGGATTTTAACATACTGTGTGAAATTTTAGCTCCGTCCTCAGTGGTGCAGTTCATTAAAGAAACTTACCTGGATACAGTTACAGAAGAAATGGCAAAAATTCTTGAAAATTTTTGTGAGCTGCAGTTCAAAGAAAATGCTGTTCCTGTAGTTAAAGCAAGCAAGAGCGCCGGCAAGCACAGAGGAACAGTGCATGCTTTGGGTTAGTGACATCTACGTTTCTGTTTGATTTCACTTCAGCCTTTTACATCTTTACTTTTCTGGCTTTTCTGTTGTTGGTATATGGTTAAATCCCATTGCAAGTTTCAAAATTAGCCAGAAAATAAATGAGCAGAAATGAGCTTTGAGCTCGTGCATTGCTGTTTCTGTGAGTGTGGTCAGGGAAGTGTTTCGTCTCTGGTTAAATCGTTAGTGACACTGAAATTGGAAGCCATATAAAAAGGAAGTTTTATTTTTCTGGAATGCATAAAATAAATGATTAAATATTAGCTAAAAGAAACTCATGTCTGTGCATGCAAATATAAATATATGTGCAAATATATGTACAACAGAAGAGCATGAACTTTACTGTATTATATCTTCCAAAGCCAAAACAGTATTACTTAAGAGGAGTTCTTGAAAGTTGGTTTAAATTTACATTAACTAAAATTAGAAGTCAAAAAATTATATTTCAGTCAGACAATTCTAGTAAATATAAATTATAAATATTAGTCATAAAATACTTTTTCATTGCTTAGAAGGTATAGCACTTTATAAATCATTTAAAAATATCTATTTCATATTATAATATATATAATAAAATATGACTTAAAATTCCTAATTTTATTCAAATATTAAAGAATAAAAAAATAACACTATAATAAACTTTCTTGTTATGGTTTTGATTTTCCACCAATCGGAAAAAATCAAAATAAAAGTATGATTGTTTTATTATCAGTCATGAAACACTAAGGAATTTCAATTTGTAAATGAATTCCTAAACTATATATCATTTAAGTATTTAAAAATTATCCATGCTGAATTAGTTATGTATCAGTTGATATTTTCTATATTACTATATATTTTACTTACCTTTGTTAATAAAATACCAGAAGACCAAATTAATGTGATTGATGCATTTTCAAGTACATTAATATCCTTCTGAAATTCCAGTTTTTTCTCTTCTAACTCACACTGTGTAACAGATGAGTCAGTCACTTAGTGGGATGACAGTGACGTTATGGTCATCTAATTCAACAACACTGTGAGTCTGCCCCAAGCAAATATACTTTCATCTTAATTGTGAACACATAATTTTGAAATGTGTTTCATGCCTGTGCTTGCTTTCTAAAAATATTGTATATATTTTTAAAAATCCTGTCTACTTATAAAGTGTTTTGTGTACAAAAGTTTTCTCTGGGCTAAATACAGTTTATAATAGAAGGTAAAATCATTCAGTTGAAAATACGTACAAATTGCTAATGAGTCTTGGGCTACTATAGAGGCAAAGTATGTAAGCCCACTTTAACACTGGGGTTGGAAACATTCCCACAAACCTAATGCGTTGATCCTTCTCAGACACTGTTTCCTGACTTCTCACAGTAACCACGTTCAAATGGAGCGTTCCATAAGTTAGGCGCTGTGCTGAGGGTAGCCGGTCTCTCTTGTTCCAATTTTACATCAAAAAATAGACTTACATGAATTCACTCTGGATTATTTGTGTCCAGTCAAGATTCATATTCACACTGAGGATTCACATACAGGGGTGTGTGTATGTGTGTGTGTGTGTGTGTGTGTGTGTGTGTGTATTGTTGTTGTTTGTTTTTTATAACACCTGTGTTCAACCTGTGTCTCAAAGTATAGAATTAAATGTTTTGTCATCAATAATTGAAATTTCAAACTTTCTTGGTCAAGTGATCCTCCTGAAAATAAGTTAGTTCAGCTTTATTGACTGCCTTTAACTAGTTCGTGAAGTAGCAACCATGTTTAAGATTCTGAGCCAGACACTAGGTTAGTGAGAGAACCAAATGAGTCATTACTGCCGTGTAAGAAGCACAGAGTAGCTCAGCAGACAAAAAACAAAAAATGGTTTTGTTTCTTCCAAGAACACAATTGTTTTGACCCAATGACAAAATTTTGTTTATTAACAAATTACAACTTCAAGAAGAATCAATAATTTACATTCCTTTTGGGATAAAATCTGGATTGACTGAATGGGAAAGTATTATCTTTAATATATGATCACTGAGTCCACTATTTTAGCCAAGACTATAGAGAGAGTATTTATGTAAAAATTTATTGGTTCAAATAGGGACGTGTACTAGCTTACTTAGTTCTGACTTCCTGACAAGGTGGTTGTCATTATATCTCCATTAAACAATGGAAATTACCGAATAAAGATTTTAAGTAATAACCACATGGTCATAAGTGACTTTGGGATTCAGATCAATGTGCGTCTGACTCCAGATCCCTTACTCTGCGACTACACTCTACTGATCAAACCATTACAGAACATGCCTCTGACTCACCGTCCGTGTGGTCACTGTCTTGCTCTTCTCCACACTGGACTGTATTTCCGATTCGAAAAGGACACAGCTCCAGTCTGAAATTATCTTGTTTTGGTTCCCCTTCTGCAGTCTATTCGTATATCTTGAGATTTGTGTGTGTGCTGTAGTCTTGTCTGCACAAATACCTCCAAGTCCTGTACGAGCTAAGACAGTTTGGACCTACTGTGTTTTTAATTGCCTCTGATTTTAGGTAGAGATTGGACGTTCTTTCCACAGTAGTCTGTGATTCATCTCTATTACTTGATCATTAAAGAAGTGTTACTATTGAACACAGTGTATAAGATTTTATTCCATGTGAGTTCATTTAATCTTTTGAACAGTTCATATTTTATATGGGGAAACTGAGACCAGAAGAGGTAATATTCTCACAGCTGTACAACTACTAAGTCACAGAAAGGAGCTTCCTTGGTTTTACACACAACTCACGTGCACACACATGCACATACATGCATATATGTATATACAACACACATATGCACTCATGCACATGTATATGTATGTATGTATATATGTGTGTTTGTATGTATGTATACACATACAAAAACCTCTGTCATTTTCTTGTGATAAGGTACAAGACAGGCATTATTTTTACTTGTATATAAGCTTATCACTAGAGTTAAATTCGTCATCTTGGTGTTATTTGGCAAATTTTGCTTTTATGTTCACACAGATTTGGACATTTCCTTGGAGCATCTGATATTTGAAGAAAATGATGTTAATATAAAGGTTTTAAAATCTTTTTAAGTTAGTGATCTTTTCTAGAAAACTATTGTTTTGCAGATAGTCTTTTACTTTTGCTATTATTATCACTATTATTAAGTAATAGCACTCTGTAGCCCAGGCAGGACCTAAACTTCCTTTGTGTCCACAGTTTACCTGACTCAGCCTCTCTAGTACAGATGTGAGCCCCTGGCCTCTCTAGTACAGATGTGAGCCCCTGGCCTCTCTGGTACAGATGTGAGCCCCTGGCCTCTCTGGTACAGATGTGAGCTGCCAAACCAGCTGAGCAGTGTGCCTTGCTCTTCTGTGCTCTGGTGATCTGCTTTTTTGCAGCACTGGGGAGCTAACCCAGGGCCTTGTGCATGCCGGCAGGTGCTCTGTCACTGAGGCACTGCCTTGCCCGAGCTTTCAGAGTAGTTTAAGATCCATGACATTTTTAATAAGCTTGTTATTTGTACTTTTATAGTTTCTCTTCTGATATTGCGAGGAAAGTATTATTTCTTAAGTGTTATGTATAATATTTTCTGTTTTCACTCGAAAGGCCTGAAGACCATAATAAATGGTTTCAGGAAGCTTGAGATTTGCAGTTAGCATTTAGATTATAACTAGATCTGTTCTTTGCAGATCATGTCATATTTATATGTCTTCATATTTGATCCCTATTTCAGGAGAATCATTTTTATATCTAAGTTTGGAATTACTAAGGAAACTAATTTTAATTTTAAAAATATATTATTCCCTTTGTATTTAAAAGTAGTATTCTAAATATTTGGGGAAGAGAGTTATTTTTGAGTAGCAAATTTCAGTTAAATTAATGCTCTATATTTTAATGATTAAATATGCAATTAAGAGATTAGAAGTCTAGAATAAGTCTCATAACTCCCTTCATCTTTTACTTGAGTTATTCTTAAGGTCCTTGTTAGCTTGAAAAAGACAAACAAAGTCTTCTCTATGCTCTTGAGTATTTGTAAAGTTTCAGAGCTGCAGCTGGAAAGAGGGAGATCGAAGAGTCCTGAAGGCTGATTGCAAACCACTGTCCCCAGCTGTTGAGTATAACTGAAGGTGAGGCGCAACCTTGAGAATAAACCCCACCTCCAGCCCCACCCCAGAAAGCCAGGTTAGTGGCCTATGCCTGTAATTCTAAGACTGGGAGTCTAAGGCCAGCCTGAAGTACATTACATAGGAAGACTCTGTCTAAAAACAGTAATGCAGATCTATGATCTGCATTGCAGAGCCAGTCTGGAAAAGTTAACCCTGTCTATAATAAATAAATAAAACTGAGTGGCAGAGTGTTCGTCTACCAGGAGCAAGGCCCTAGGTTCTGTTCACAGTTCCACAAAACTAAGAGGTAAACAAATGGGTCTTCAGGGTGAAGAAAGCCCTTTTTTGTTTGTTAGTTTTTGTTTTGTTTTGTTTTTTGAGACAGGGTTTCTCTGTGTACCTTTGGTGCCTGTCCTGGATCTTGCTCTGTAGACCAGGCTGACCTCAAACTCACAGAGATCCGCCTGGTTCCAACTCCCAAATACTGGGATTAAAGGCGTGAGCCACCACAGTCCATTAAGAAAGACCTTCTTGAGGGCAAAGTGATGACACACTTTTAGACAGGACACATTTGAAAAATAAGCGAATAAAAAGGCACCCTGCATCCTGAGCCGTCCAATGCCTCCCATAGCTGTGAGCAGGAAAGGGTGAAGTTTATCTGTGTGAGCACATAAACCACAGGCTGGAAGAACAGTCAGCTGAATACTGCCCTAGAGGAGCCTGAGGTTCCTGTGCTCCTTAGGAATGAGCAAAGATCTCCACAGCCAATACTACCCTTACTAGTTCCTAATTCTGCACAACCAGAAGGGACAACTTTAGATAACACAAAATGGTAAATGAGGTAAAAATAACAGACAGCAATGCCTAGTAAGTCATCAGTTTTTTTTTTAAAAGT